CTGCAGGAAAAAAATATCAATTGATAAAAAATAATCCACTTTTTTGTGGGATTTCTATAAAATATATAACTTGTAGTTAGCTACAAAAAGCTCACTTGAAACTAGTTGACAAGTAATTCAGGAGTAATGAGGGAGATTGCTTTCTTTAAACGTGTTTCTATTTAAATATGCTGCACTTCGCAAATAGTTTTTCGAATTGAGGACAAATAAAAGGAAGATCGATTTAATGCAGAACGTAAGTAATCATTTCAAAGTTTAACTGCAAAGAAGAAATATTTCAATCGATTTATTCGTTTTTGATTTATAGCAGTTTTAAAACCGATTTCATGATTTCTTACCACATCTTGGCATACTGACAAGCCGTTTTTACAGATTCCTTCAAATAATGTTGAAATTATCCTTTGCAGATAGCTAAGCTTTAAAATGCAAAAACCATTTCCAAATCGGAGCAGTCTGTGCGAAGTTATTACATTACATACATATTCTGGGACTTTATTTTATAAGATGTATAGATAAATAGATTTGTATGAAAGTGTCATTTCATAGAGCTCTTTAAATGCATTTTATCTTTAGTGAATAAGGCTATAAGTTTATACATAAACTAGCCGGCCACGCGCTGAATGTATGCATATATATGTATGTCCATTTACGTATTTGGAGAAAGAAATTGTGGCAACGCTGCGTCGCTACATGTCAAAAAATCAGCAACATCTGTCAAGGCAATGTGACATTCGATTTCCGTTCCTGCTTCTTCTTTGTCAAGAAAAGTTTTCTGAAAAAACGTCGTCACGTGAAGATAAAAAAGGAGTTTTAGTTTTTAAGTATCTGCGATCATAATATTCGTTTTCTCTAGTAAATATTAATAAAAGTGTGAGCCCACGCGCTATATAATTGGTGACCCCGACAAAGAACCAAAAACTGCAGCAGATGGAGTCGCACAACGAGGATAGCAAGGCAGAAGAACATCCGCAAATGGCAGTCACACCTCCAACCGCACTCAGCCGCGAATTAGGTGCAAACGAGAAAATTGCCAACATCTCCGTAAAGCTACCCCCATTCTGGCACGCAAATCCAAACTTGTGGTTAGCTCAAGTCGAGTCTCGCTTCATAGCCGCACGCATCAGACACGATGCAACGAAATACCACACCGTGATTGCCGCCATCGAGAGCAACGTGCTGGCGCAAATCAGCGATATCATCTTAAACCCCCCAACTACCGACATGTATGAGACGTTGAAAACACGCATTTTAGAGCGATTCGGAGAGTCCGAACAACGACGAATAAAAAAATTGCTACAAGAGCTGGAGCTCGGCGACATGCGTCCGTCACAACTCCTCAGGGAGATGCAAATTCTGGCAGGTAACGCGATGAACGACGCTATGCTACGATCAATCTGGATCAGTCGCCTCCCAACTGACGTTCGGACCATAATTTTAATCAGCACAGAACCTTTGGAGAAAGTGGCGCTCCTAGCCGATAAAGTCTTAGAGGTTAGAGAAGGACCACAGCTACACGCCATCTCGACTCGCGAAGATACGGCGCGTAACTCAACACTGGCGCAGCAAATCGAAAAGCTAACGCAAGAAGTGGCAGCGCTAAGGTCAAAGGTTTCTACGCAAGTTCGTCATCGCAGCAAAAGCCCAGCACGAAATAGATCGCAAACACCATCAGAGACCTGTTGGTACCACCTCAAATTCGGCGACGCGGCAACAAAATGTCGCCCGCCCTGCGCAAAGGCTTTAAACTAAAACGCCCGTCGCTCGTAGCGGCATGCGACAGGCTCAATTCACCAAGCCGCCGCTTACTAATTAGAGACACAGTTTCCAAACTCCATTTCCTAATCGACACTGGCGCTGAAGTCAGCATAATCCCCGCTACACCAACCCAACGACAAAAGGGCGAAACCAATTTCTATCTGTATGCGGCCAACAAAACGAAAATCAAAGCCTACGGAGAGAAACTTCTTACGCTCAACATCGGCCTTCGACGTCCGCTGAGATGGAATTTTATTATCGCCGACGTGGCACAACCCATAATCGGCGCGGACCTCCTCGCTCAATACAACATTTCGGTAAATCTTCGGCATCGTTTACTATTCGACGACATTACAAATATCGCGAAGTGCTGCGCAATCGTCAACGTTTCAAACGACATTTTAAACATTTCCACCGTCAACAACGACATGCCCTTCCAAGAAATACTTAACGAATTCAAAGACATTATGGGCGCATCAAAAATAGTACCGAAGGACACCACACACAATGTTACACATTGCATAGTGACAAAAGGGCCACCCGTTTATTCAAAGCCCCGTCTGCAAAAGCCGAAATCGAATCACTATTGGAGGCGGGCATCTGCCGACCCTCACGAAGCCCATGGGCCAGCCCCCTCCACATGGTGAAAAAGAAGAACGGCGAATGGAGACCGTGTGGAGATTTCCGACGACTAAACGACGTCACAGAGCCCGACAGGTATCCGCTACCACATATACACGACTTTACACACGCGCTTCACGGATGCAAAATTTTCTCGACAATAGACTTACGGCGGGCTTATCACCAGATACCAGTGGAGCCAAGCGACATACCGAAGACAGCCATAACCACCCCATTCGGTATGTATGAATTCGTGTATATGTGTTTTGGTTTACGAAATGCCGGCCAAACTTTTCAAAGGTTTATGGACCAGATCTTGCTCGAGTTCAGCTTCGCTTGGCCTTACCTGGACGACATCTTGGTAGGTTCAAAAACGGAAAAAGAACACGAAGAACATTTGCGGGCCGTATTCAAAAAGCTACGCAAACACGGCATTGTCATCAACCCGTCGAAATGTGATCTCGGAAAAGCAGAAGTGACCTTTTTGGGCTACAGGGTATCGAAGGATGGAGTGAAACCACCAGAAGAACGAGTGCGAGCTATTCAGGAGTTTGACCTGCCGAAACGATCTTGCGACTTGCGGCGCTTTTTGGGGATGATCAATTTTTTTCGAAGATTTCTACCCAAAGCAGCCGCATATCAAAGCGTTCTAACCGCGCTCATCAAAAGCAATAAAAAAATGACACTTCAATAATAGACTGGAGTCAAACAGCAAAGGACGCATTTCAACGTTGTAAAGACGAACTGTGCGGAGCTACGCTTCTCGCCTTTGCAAACCCCAACGCTCAACTTGCGTTGGCAGTCGACGCATCTGGTACTGCAATCGGCGCCGTGTTACAACAACGCGACGGCGATTTATGGCAGCCTCTTAGCTTTTATTCAGAGAAGCTCAGCCCGGCTCAACAACGCTACAGTACATACGATCGTGAACTGCTTGCCGCATATAAAAGCGTAAAGTATTTCCGTCACATGCTGGAAGGACAACAATTTTTCATTCTAACTGACCACAAGCCACTTCAGTTTGCTTTCCAACAAAACTTAGAAAAAGCGTCGCCCAGGCAAATCAGACATCTCGATTTCGTGAGTCAATTCACAACAGATATACGCTACGTACCCGGAAAGGAAAATGTTACTGCCGACGCACTCTCTAGAGTTGAAGCCATTCACGTCAACCAAACCATCGATTATGACGAACTGGCCAAACACCAGCTAAACAACAACGAACTCCAAACGTTTTGCAACGGAGACTCAGGTCTGCAATTAGTCAAATTGAAAATCCCCGGCGCTTCAGCAGAACTGTTCTGCGATATCAGCACAGGTAAAGCACGCCCTTTTATAACAGAACCGTTTCGTAGAACGGCCTTTGAATCGATCTACAACATATGCCACGCCGGAGCTGCCAAGACATCTAAACTTGTTTCAGAGAAGTTCGTGTGGCCCAACATGAACCGGAACTGCCGCGATTGGACCAGAAGCTGTTTACGCTGCCAAAAGGCGAAAACTCAACGGCACAACAAATCGCCGATCGCAGCTTACGCTTTGACAGAACGGAGGTTTGACCACGTCAACATGGACATCATTGGTCCCTTACCGCCAAATCGAGGATTTCGTTACTGCCTCACCTGCATAGATAGATTTACGAGGTGGGTCGAAGCATATCCTATCGCAACAATCACAGCCGAAGAGGTCGCTTTCACATTTTATTCTAACTGGATAGCGAGATTCGGGGTCCCAATGAAAGTAACGACCGACCAGGGACGCCAATTCGAGTCGTCGCTTTTCCGGGACCTGAACAAACTTCTCGGCATCCAGCACCTCAAAACTACAGCCTATCACCCAGCTTCAAATGGACTCGTCGAACGTTTCCACCGAACACTGAAAACCGCGGTGAAATGTTTCCAAACCGAGCAGTGGGTCGACGTATTACCACTTATTCTAATGGGATACCGATCTTGTTACAAAGAAGATATCGGATCGACTCCAGCAGAAATGACGTATGGCTGCGGTATCAGACTCCCGGGAGAATTCGTCGATCCTTCTCACAACGGCATCGCAAACGAAAATGAATTCGTGAGCAGCCTGCGAACCCGAATGCAGGGGTTAAAACCCACAATCACCTCAAACCACGCCAGGCCGGCGTGTTTCATCGAAAAAAGGTTATCAACAGCCCCCGCCGTATTCGTGAGAACAGACGCCGTTCGCCGGCCATTGCAGCCGCCATACGAAGGGCCATACCAAGTCCTGCAGCGCAACGACAAATGGTACAAACTTGAAATAAACGGGAAAGCAACCAACATCAGCATCGATAGACTGAAAGCAGCATACACGGTTGAAGAAAACGCAACTCAACCAGACCGGTCCTCAACAAAACCACCATTAACAACACGCTCCGGTCGCAAGGTTAGGCTCCCTTCAAGGTACGAGGGGGAGTGATGTGGCAACGCTGCGTCGCTACATGTCAAAAAATCAGCAACATCTGTCAAGGCAATGTGACATTCGATTTCCGTTCCTGCTTCTTCTTTGTCAAGAAAAGTTTTCTGAAAAAACGTCGTCACGTGAAGATAAAAAAGGAGTTTTAGTTTTTAAGTATCTGCGATCATAATATTCGTTTTCTCTAGTAAATATTAATAAAAGTGTGAGCCCACGCGCTATAAAATCATATATCATCATGTACTTCGTTTATTGATATAATAATAACAGATTGGCGCTTACACATATGTTAGTGTTAGGCCGAGCTTCTCCTCCAATTTGTGGCGTGCGCCTTTTTGTTGTCACACAAAGCGGAGGGACCTACAGTTTTACGCCGACTCCGAACAGCGATTATATTTTTATGAGAAGCTGTTTTTCATGGCAGAAATACACTCGGAGGTTTGCCATTGCCTGCCGACGGACGACCGCTCTTAAGAAAAAACCATTTTTTCTATATTTTTTGCGAAATTGCTTTGACCAGGGTTTGAACCCAGGCGTTGCGGAGCGGAAGCGCACACTGCTTACCACTACACCACAGCGGCCGACGATTATTATATGCTTAAAAAATCTTGTCTAAATCCATTCAGTAGCGTGGTCAAAATATCTCGCCTTTCCTTTATACTATGTATAGAAGATAGTAATTTTAAATAGGTGGCAACCCAACTCAAAAAATTTAAGTTTTTGTACATGCGAAGGCCATGCACTTTCATTTCGAGATTTTCGATAAAGGATGTAAAGAAATATATTTCACCCCCAAAAAAATATTGAGGTGTAAATATTGTATGGAATGACCCATATGCAAAATTTTAGCCAAATCGAATGCCATCGCGCAGAATCTTTCTACGTTTGATTTGGAATAGCCGAATGAAAAAAATTTTTAAAATTGAACTTACCACATTTTGCTGCATCAATTCATATCCGAAAAATACGCTCATTTCAGGTTGATAAGTATATAGCGAATAACGAAGATTTTCCATGATCACGTAGCTGTTATAGGATACAAAAATGGGGAATATTAATTTATTTTTATAGGAGCACTTTGACAAACTTCAAAATATTTTATTTATTTATTCATTACCTTTGCTTTGAACTTAAGCATGATACAATAATTTCTATACCCGAGCGCACTTGTGCACAAGGGCATTATAACTTTGTTCACATAACGGTTGTTTGTAACAGGCAAAACGAATCGAGATAGATATAGACAAATGTATACATAAATGATCAGAATGAAAAGAGAAATCGATTAAGCGGTGACTGTCTGTCCGTCCGTCCGTCCGTCCGTCTGTGCACACGATAACTCTAGTAAAAATTGAGATATCTTAACGAAACTTGGTACGTGAACTTCTTCTGGGCGTAGGACGGATGGTATTGAAAATGGGCGAAATCGGACAATAACCACGCCTACCTCCCATATAACGGTAATTTTAAGAAATACGAAAACTGCGATATTTTAGTAACTACTGAAGATAATTCACTCAAAATTGATACTTACAATGAGTTTCAGACGGAAAAAATTAATTTTATAAATTTTTGGAAAATGGGCGTAGCCACGCCCACTTATGGTTACATGTGTATATCTTGGTAACCGCTATACCAATTTCTTCCAAACTTGGCACAGTTGTTGGCCTTAGTACAGCATACTAAATGGCTGAAAATTTTAAAAATCGGACAATAACCACGCCTACCTCCCATATAACGGTAATTTTCAGAAAAACGAAAACTGCGATATTTTAGTAACTACTGAAGATAATTCACTCAAAATTTATATTTGCAATGAGTTGTAGACGAAAAATAAGAATATTACAAAATTTTGGCAAATGGGCGTAGCCACGCCCACTTATGGTTAAATGTGTATATCTTGGTAACCGCTACACCGATTTCTTCCAAACTTGGCACAGTTGTTGGTCCTGGTACAGCATACCAAATGGCCGAAAATTTCTAAAATCGGATAATAACCACGCCCACATCCCATATAACGGTAATTTCGAGAAATACAAAATCTTCGATAAATCAGTAAATATTGAAGCTAATTTATTCAAAATTGATGGTTGCAACAATTCTTTACCAAGAAATATGTTTATGACAAAATTTTGGAAAATGGTCGTAGCACCGCCCACTTGTGATCACATATATGTATCTCGCTAACCGTTCTAGCAATTTGTACCAAGCTCGGTATGGTTATTGTGCTTGCCACATAAAAGCAAACCGTTGAAAATTGTTGAAATCGGACTAAAATTGAGGCCGCTTTTCATATAACGGTAAATTTCAGATATGCTTGAAATTTCAATATTTCGAAATTTAAGGACGCTAATTTACTTAAAATGTATACACCCCGGCTTATCATGTAGCGGTAGCTTTCGGAAAGGTGGAAAACATATATTTAATACTTGCGCCGGGTATTTAATGTTCGGTTCCGCCCGAACTTAGACTTTCTTACTTGTTAGAATGTAGTTTCACTTCAAAATTTTTGACATAAACCGTGTCTGTGCCAAACACGCAATGTGGCCACTGCTATGATATAGAACTTGGGGATTTTCGCTTGTTATTTTAGATATTTTTTAACAGAACGTGTAAAGATTTATATATTTCATAACTGATCACTTCATTTTTAATATACATATGTATACGTATTTAATACATACATACATTCTTGCCACTGCTAATCACATGAATATACACTTTTGATCAGCTAATTAAGCCAGCAACATTTTGATAAATTTTGGCTATTTTGCTTTCGTTTATTCAATGTTTATTATTTTTCCACAAAAGTCTAGCTCATTATATAACAAACACCATATAAATCCAGAATTCAAACTTTGTGCAAAAATTATGAAAAACCTGCAAAGTTTCAGCTAGATTTTCAACTTTTTATTAAGATTTTTTAGAATTTTTGCGAGTATGCTGTTTAAGTCTTAAGTTGCTAAAAAATCGCGTTGATTTTTAATAATTTTTTTTCAGACTGCATTACAAATTTTTTTCCATGCAAAATAAATTCGACAATTTTTTTTTATGAAACAAAATGCGTCTACCTAAAATTATTGTATCATGAACTTAGGACTTAGTTGTGCAAATAATTGCTCGTTTCTTCGGTTTTTTTGAAATAAATGTTTTAAAAATAATTTCCTATTCAAAAACTAGTTAGTAAAGTTCTTCATGTAGATTTAAAGCCGCTATGTTTTACTATATTGATATTTGCAAGAGCTTGTAGTCCCCTCGTTAGAGCATATACATACTATATTAAGTTTCTTTAATGCCGTTTTGGGCTTTAACCGAAAAACTGGAATAAGCGTGTAACAATGTAAACTAACAGCATAACACAAAGTAAAAGCAAAACAGTACCGGCATTCCAAATGAAATTAAATAAATTTTTTTCCTTTTATTTATAACAACACAATTTAAAGATTGCAACAAAGGACATAAATAAAAAATAATAAAAAATAAAATAAAAAAATCATGCGTCAGAGATTTGGATCTCAGGAACGCCGCCAGAAAAATGGCACACTTATGCCTTTCACGGGGTATGAATTGGCAGACCATCTCATCAACTGGTATGATGCTACTAGTATATCTGCTGGTAGGTGCTGATGCAGGAGCGGAAAATTTACATCGCGGATGACATCGCCATGTTAAAATAGCATTCGCTAACAATAAAAAAGGATACAACGGGAACTAGTTGGGCTGAAACGCAAACTGGTAGCATTCTAGTTCACAACTAATAGCTCTCCCTGTGGGCAAGTTGAACCCATAACGCCACAGGGCGGTAAAATTTTTTTAGGTCGGTGTGAAAAGAAAAGGCTCTTTGTTTGTGCCACTGTTCGGTGGTAGTCGCCCAGCCATTGCTGATTGCTAAATTTTACGAGAGAAGATTAAAAGCGCAAACAGTCAACGACGTAGCGTAGACGTAGGTTGACGCAGACACGATCTAGCTTATGGGATTCGCGTGTTAACGAAAACTCACCACCGCATGGCGGTGACGTGGCCGTTGTTTCTCTCTCTCTCTATCAACAGTCAATTTTATATGCTGCTACGTACGTCAACCTACGTTTACGCTACGTCGTTGACTAACTGAGCTTTTACGAACCTGCGAAATGCGAGAGGCGAATTCATATAATCGAAAAATATAACAATTACATGTATTTTGTTTTTGCTTTTAGTGGACTATTGCCAAATTTCAGGAAGCTAATACAAATCAGGGATGATAAATGAAATCAAGAGTGCAAAATGACACTGCTGCTGGAAAAAATTTTACCTACGAAAACCTACAAGGAAATGTCTGCTGACCACAACATGTGTTCGTGAATAAACAAAAGAAAAGAAGAAAAGTTTAGTTTAGTTAATTTACTATTAATCTCTAATTTTCTAATTTTCGTGCGTCAACTATGGCTGCTGTATAAAATTATTCAATTGTGGATGAAACTATTTGTTGGCCGGAATTTACGCAAAATATTGAGAAATATGTATACCAAAATAGATAATAATGCTGAAAGGTTCTGACCGAATTTGTCAGTTGATCGTTAAACCGAAAATGGGATAATTTTAAAGACACATTTGTAGCTATATCTACTTAAATTTTGTGAAAAAGAGAAGGGTGCTTGGAGGAGATTCTTTTATTTTTGAATGTCTCAGGATGTGGTATCAAAAATATTTGTTAGAAAAAAACTTACTTACCTATCAGAAAGTCAGAATGGCGTAAGTTTTACTGCGTTCAATAACTTTTTCTGATATTTTAGTCTTCCCCTTAATTTTACTCGCTATTATTCTTTTATTCTCTGGCTGCTAGTACTTACTGGAAAATTTTATGAATAGACCTATGACAGAAACTTTTTTTTATTTAATTAAGAGTTTCGTTTTTAATAAGCACCCCGTATTTACTTAAATAAGATAGAAAAAGATGACTATATTTTTACGCACAAAAATTCAAAACTCCAAGTAAATAGAGTGTAGTATTTCGACATAATTGTAGTGCAGTACTGTATCTTGACAAAAATGTATCAAAAATGTCAATGTAGTACCAATGTACTTTTGGCTTCCAAAATGTACCAGAAAAGTACAATTGTACCATCAATTTCATCACTGATACAAATACCTTCACTTTTTCACTAACTCTCTAGCGAAATTTTGAAAATTACGCATCATTCACAGCTGATGAAACAATACCACCTTATATGCATGTATGTATTCTCAATAAGCATAAAATAAACTTAAACGGCATTTAAACCTAAATTGCATTTAATTATTATTTCGTAAACCAAACGTATGAAAATGTTTGTATGCTTGCCATGACAGCCGAGGTGATAGCGCTTAAACATTCGTCTTAATTGTAATTAAATTCTAGTCATATGATCAAAATTTCATTAAGTTTCATAAAATATTAACTGAGAAATAGCAATAAAAAACTTTACACAACAGTTCCTTTGTTTATAACTTATAAAAATTATAAATTTAAAAAAAATTTATTGAGAATGTTAAATTTCATCAATAAATCCTCGAGGTTCGTATCTTAATTTTTATTTTTATACCCGAGCGCACTTGTGCACAGCGTATTATAACTTTGTTCACATAAGGGTTCCCTGTAGTCAAATGTACTAGATGTAAACTACCTCACAACTAGTATGAACCGCATGCCCAACTAGTCAGCCAACTATCTTTTTTCCATACAGTCAACTGGTATTTTTAACATGGGGATGTCCTACGAGATGGCAATTGTCAGATTTCGGTCAGAAATATACCAGTCTCATACTAGTTCAAAATAGGCAGAAAAATGCTAGTCCAATTATGGACCAAAACCACTACCATGGGAGTCAAAAAATGAAATGAATTCATGAATATACAATAAAAAACTTTTGATTAAGCGCACTTTAATACATTACACATTTTTATTTAGCAGCATTAGATTTGCCAATAATTAGTGTTAAATTTGTTGAGTATTAATTAAAAGCAAAAATAAATACTTAAATATTCCAAACTTTCGAACATAAATTTAA